GGCAACCAAACAACTTGTAGATGGTGCATTAGGGAATATTTTTGCTCAACCAGGCTGGGTTGAGAAGTGTATGCGATGCAGGAATTGTTCACAAGTTGAGCCAAACACGCCCATAATCTGTTATATACATGTATTGGAATAGTATTCAGACGTAATATGTAAGTGTCAGTTGTCTATCAACATTATGTCATAATGATATGTCACAACTCACGTGCAAAGCATGTGCAACTCACTAGTAGTTAGTAGTGATGGAGTAGCCGAATGATGTGTGTCATCGACGTAGTTGCATTGATTTTTATGGATTTAAGATATGATAATTGTAGAGAATGATTTTGTGCATCGATGATTTATTGATCGTGCACTAGGCACATATATATAGCTACAAGGGGTGCGACCGGTGTCTTGCCTCGCAAGATACAAGTACATGCAGGGGGAGAGAGACACTACAGGTGCGACATACAAAATCCAGACCTACGTACATGTACACATGTTGAACCCCCCCCCCCCACGCAGTCGAAGCGTCGCCAGTGACGCAGAGACTGGACCGAAAGCCCTCGAATGTCGAGGTGGGTAGTCCCTTCGTCATAACATCGGCGAATTGCTGATCGGTGGGCACATGTAGAACTCGAACACGACCAAGTGTGACGTGCTCCCTGACGAAGTGAATTTCGAGCTCAATATGCTTCATCCGTCGGTGATGGACAGGGTTAGGAGCGAGGTACACCACAGAAACATTGTCGCAGTAGACAAGCGTAGCCTTGGTGACCTCACATAGCAACTCCTGAAGTAGCTGTCGTAGCCAAGAGCACTCTGCGACGTCATTGGCCACTGTCGTACACTCAGCCTCGGCGCTCGATTGTGAGACCGTGGGTTGTCATTTAGACAACCACGAAATCAGAGAGGGCCCGAGGTATACGCAGTAGCCGAAAGTGGAGCGTTCAGTGTCGGGACACCCAGCCCAATCGGCGTCGGAGTAGGCGACGAGGCTGGTGTCAGGTGATGCCGTCGGGGTGAGACCCATAACCGTGGTACCACATATGTACCGAAGAATAACTTTCACCAGAGCCCAATGAGTATCACGAGGAGCATGCATATGAAGGCACACCTGCTGGAAAGCGTACTGAATATTCCGGCGCGTCAGCGTGAGGTACTGAAGAGCACCAACGATGGAGCACTAGAAGGGAGCGTCGGACGCTGGAGAACCCTCGACGACGGACACCTTAGCCTTCGTGTCTACAGGCGTAGAAGCAGGCTTGCATTTAAGCATGCCCGCTCTCTCCAGAAGCTCGTAGGCATACTTCTGCTGGTGCAGAAAGAAGCCAGTGGCCCGGCGCACAACCTCGATGCCAAGGAAGTAGTGGAGAGCCCCCAAGTCCTTGAGGGCGAACTCGGTGCCGAGGCGAGCTGTGATCTGCTGAAGGAGCATTGACGAGGATGCAGTCAGGATGATGTCGTTGACGTACAAGAGGAGGTATGCGGTGGCGTTGCCCTGGTGATAAACAAACAGGGAGGCATCGGACCATGTGGACTGGAACCCCTGCTGTTGAAGGAAGGCCGCGATCCGCTGGTACCAGGCCCGAGGCGCCTACTTCAACCCGTAGAGAGAACGGGAGAGCAAGCACACGTGGTCCGGATAGTCGGTGTCGATGAAACCAGTAGGCTGCTGACAGAAGACCTGCTCATCGAGATGGCCATGCAAGAAAGCATTTGACACATCTAGGTGGTGAACTAGCCAGACGTGAGAAACAGCAAGCTGAAGGACCGCGTGAATCGTGCCCTGTTTGACAACCGGGGCGAAGGTTTCGGTGAAGTCCACGCCTGCATGCTGGCGGAAGCCGCGCACCACCCAACACGCCTTGTAGCGCTCGAGAGAGCCGTCGGGGCGAGTCTTGTGGCGGAAGACCCACTTGCCAGTGATGACATTGGCACGGGGAGGCCGCAGAACAAGCTGCCACGTACGGTTACGCTCTAGGGCATCAAACTCCTCACGCATTGCAGCTAGCCAGTTCGGATCCTGAAGGGCTGCGCGAGCGGAGGTGGGGAGCAGAGACGGTGCCGAGGTAGACGCGGCACACGCGTACTCGTCAGACGAGTAGCGCGTGCTAGGACAAAGTGTCCCAGTCCAAGTCCGAGTGACCACACCGGTGAGAGGTGCGGCCGCGTCGACGGGGGCTGCGGCCGAGGGGACCGTGGCAGGGGCCGCGACGACGGGGGCCACGGCAGGGGATGCGGCGACGGGGGCCGCAGCAAGGGCCGCGGTGGGGGCCATGGCGACGGGGGCCGCCAGCACAGGGAGCGCGGGCAGGGCCGAGCCCAGTGCGCGGCTGGGCGGTTCGCCAGAGGTGGAGGCAGGGGCGAACCGCACCATGGGAGACGTCGAGGGTGACGATACCTGCTGAAACGGGAACACCATCTCATCAAAGTACACATGCCTCCCAAGGCGGCGGCACCTGAAGAGGGTAAAACCCTCCGTAGGCGGGCGCGGGGGCGGCGCCGTAGGCGGGCGCGGGCGGGGGTGCGGCACCATAGCCGTTGTAGGGAGCGGCTTTCTGCGCGCCGAAGATGTCTTGGTGGTTCGCCGGACGAGGCCCAAGGATGCCCGGAGCGGGAGCCCGAGGGACCGGCATCGAGTACGTGTGGACAACGCCGGTCCATGGGTTGGTGCCGTACGTCCACGGAGGTGTGGCCTACTGCTGTTGTTGCTGACGAGGGCCCCCCTCCCCCCGGCGCCTGTTGGTGCTTGCGGCCGCCCCCGCGGCGGTTGTCGTGGCGCCCGCCACCTGGCTGCTGGGGGGGCAACAGGAGGGGCGGGAGGCGCGGGCGGCAGGGCGAAGTACCCCGGAGGCGCGGGGGGCGGCGGCTGATGGTGCGGCGCGGGTGGGGCGGCCGGTGGTGGGGCTCCACGGGAGGTGCCGGTGGCGAGGGCGTGATGTTGTACACGCTTCTTGGCCTCCTTCATCCGACACTTCTCCAACCGCAAGTACGCCACAAACTTGGGGAAGGAGGGCTCCGGCATCAAGGTGAGGTTGTAGGTGGCGTTGCCAAAGTTCTCGTTGAGGCCGGCGGTGAGCGTGCTGAGGAGGAAGCCGTCATCAACCTTGGCGCCAATGTCGCGGAGCTCGTCCGCCAACGTCTTCAGGCGGCGGCAGTAGTCATCAATGGACTATTTATCCTGGTGACGGTCAAAAAATTCCTGTTGCAAAAAAAAAAATGCGGCGCTGAAGCTTGTTGTCGGTGAAGAGGTCGTCCAGCTTAACCCACATGACGCGGGCGTCGTCACCGGCGCTCACGACCGTGTGAAGCAGGTCCTTGGAGATGGTGGTGAAGAACCATCGCATGATCGTGGCGTCGATCGCGGTCCACTCGGGGTCGTCCACCATGGCACGGGAGTCAACGGTGCCGTCAACATGATCCACGAGGTTGTTCTCGCAGAAGAGCAGCGAGAAGTACGTCTTCCACGCGAAGTACGTGGAGTTGGAGGCGTCGAGAACGATGGGGACGCGTGGGTGGATGTTGATATCGCGGATTTCAGCAGGGTCCACGACGAAGGGGTTGAAGATGGAGGAGGCGTTGGACGACATGGCGGCGAGGGTGTGGGGAAGGGGGCGGCGCGACGGTGGAAGGGCGGTGCGGCGGTGAGAGAGGCGCGGCGCGGCGGGGAGGGAAGAACACACGGGGAGGGAAAGCACGCGTCGGGAGGTGGTGGTGGCGGCGGCAGCGGCAGATCGCGACGGCGGCGGCGGCCCGAGGAGGCGGCGACTAGGGTTGGCGGAAGCGGGAGAATCGACTTGCGATAGATACCATGTAAAGAATGATTTTATGCATCGATGACTTTATTGATCGTGCACTAGGCACATATATAGGTACAAGGGGTGCGATCGGTGTCTTGTTTTTCAAAATACAAGTATATATATGGAGAGAGAGATACTGCAGGTGCGGCATACAAAACTCAGACCTTAGTACATGTACACATGTTTAACAATAATTAAAATGTCCAGTTATGGATTACCTTATTTAAGAGGTGCTCGGTCAATACCCACGAACGTTTGATGGGCTGGATTTGCCAAGTCATGCTGTAGATGCTCTTAGGTCCTGTATATATGGATAGAGGGAGTAGATTTTCTTTTCAGGTTTGTGGTAATCGGTGACAACAATCACATACGCTTCTGGTGGCCGGTGACTGTACGATCCTTATGACCTTATCCCCTTCAGGTCGGATTCCCGCATTTCCTGTCTCCTCCTTCCAGAAATGACACAAACTCACCAGGCCCTCAGACGCACGCACACGCAGATAGGAGCATATCCAAGCACTGTACGTGCACGGTGCACCACGGCGAAGTGACGGGGGCGGCGGACATGCACAAAGCTGGCCGGCCCCGATGACGCACAGCTCCGATCCCACTCCGTGCAGACTCCAAAAGCGACCCACACGCTCCACGGAGCCTCGTGCGCGCGCCCGGCCGGATCGGCGGACACGACGCGAGCAGTACTTGGCCGTGGCACCGGCGGCGAATACGGCGCGCTGCTGCCTCCATTTACTCCGGCCAGAGCAGCGAAACGATAAGGACGCCGTGGCCTCGGCCTCGGCCTCGCCGCACTAGCGCCGCACAGGCCCAGGCGGTCTGACGCCCCAAAGGGAAGGAGATCACTGTGCCGCCGGTGACCACCGGTCACGCCCGACCCGAACCCCAGACGTACGTCTACCAGCAGCCGCCACAGTGCCGTGGAGGACCGCGGTAGCATCGCCGTTGCCAAATTTTTTGCGACATTGCTGGATTGAACTTGCGACATGGATTTCTGCTCGACCCAGAAAATGCACCCCAAAATGTGGTGGCTGTCAGAGGCGACTGTTGACGGCGTAAGCAAAAATTTAGAAAGGTGACCACTGACTCCTGGCCTGTGACTAGCTCCACGGCACCACCACCACCACACCTCCGTCCAACCTAAACCTCTCTACCCTATCTATCCAACAGCGAAGGATGATAAAAGGAAAAGCATTCTCACTGCGCCCACGAGGGGCCATCCTGGCCGTCCATCTCCATCTCCATGGAGAGGCCCGACCTCCGGGACCCGGCCGCTCCCGGCTTGGCCACCGACCACTGGGAGTGCTGGGTCACCGCGGCGTCCCCGTCCGGCAGCGGCGCGGGGGAGGGGAACCACTTGGCCTGCATGTAGCTGGACCGCCTCCAGGGCGGGACGTGTAGGCCGCTCTCCCGGAGCGAGCGGCGCGAGGCGAGGCAGAGCAGCGCCACGGCCTTCCGCAGCCTGTCCGGCGGGCCCACGAACACGGCGGGCAGCCGGGCCGAGAGGTGGGCGTACCATGGGGCCGGCCTAGCCAGCTGGAACTGGGACCTGAAATCTATGTCCACGATTAGCCTGGTCCGCCCGGCCCCGCCGTCCCCCGCCACGTGGACGTCGATGTACTCGTGGTCACCTGCAAGCAAGCGACATGGAGGGATAGCTGGTTCAAATATCTCAGGCAGCTGCAGCTCATTGTTTCTTTTGGGGGAGCAAGTACCAGTGTGCTGCTAACTCCAACTAAAAGCATATTTACATTATCATCATGGTTAATCAGCAGTACTACAGTTCCACTAGTATGCATCTGAACAGTAGTGATATTAGTATGCATTTGAACATTAGAACAGTGGTAAAAATTAGTATGCATTTGAACAGTAGCATATGAAACTGAAACTAATACTACTACGAACAGTATATTACTAGTATGTGTTTTGACAGAGCTGTGAACCGTTCGCTATGAAAAGAGGAGTGGTGATAGCAACCAAGAAATTTACAAACAAAAATGCTTAATGGTGGCACTAAGTGTTTGCTTTGTGGTGATGGCAACCATCTGAAGCTTTTTCCTTTTCATTATCCTAAAAAAAGAGAGGTCTACTTATTGTTGTTGGCAAGAACAATAGGGGGAGAAGGGCGAAACAGGGAGATGAGTTATTTAAATAACACACATGGCAGCTCGCACAAAAGATGGTAATTTCGGGAACTGTTTTCTTACCAAAAGAAGAAACATGCTCCTTCAAGGCAGCATTATCTGCAGGCAATCCAGCCCAGTTTCGGACGGTCACAAAAGAAGCAAGCAAGCACACACAGAAATGGTAAAAAAGAGGAGGGGACGTGAAATGCTTGCTAGGAGCATCAGAGGAAGCAAAAAACAGCCAGCCATGATTTCAGAGAGAGAGAGAGAGAGAGAGAGAGAGAAAGAGAGAGAGAGAGAGAGAGAGAGAGAGAGAGAGAGAAAGATTTTAGATTTTACCTCCGGGATGCTGGGCGGTGGCGACCCAAGAAGACCTGCAGAGGGACGCATCGTAGCCATCCTTCCTCAGCCTCACCATGAGCCTCTTCTTCAAGCTGCTCCTCTTCCTCTCCTCCCCCATCTCTCTCACATGCTCCATGGCCCTCTCGTATATCTCCATCTCCAGTGGCGTGCAGCCCCCAAGGACGCCCTGAACGAATGGCGCACGCATTTGGCAGACAGAATACGTAGAAGGTAAGTAGAGCTACAAAGATCCAGCATTTCTGTGTGTAGATTCACACACCTCGATGATGTGGCAGGTAGTTTGATGCTGCGTAGGAGCCGACTCCGTGGGTGATGCTGGCTCGGCATCCATCTCAAACATTCTCTCATCTGAGCTGGTGCTCATGATATGTGTGGCTCCTTTGATCTTTGGATGCAACGCGGATAATAGTGTCAAAGTGTTCTTGAGCTCTGTGGGGACGGAGAGCCTCACTCATGGCTCTCGTGAGCTACAGAGGCTTTTGCATTTATCTAGTGGGCAATAGGTCTAGTACAACTAGTACTGCTACTGCGAGCCTGTGCGTGTAAATGTGAGCTGGAGCTGGGTGACATCTTTTGCGCGGAAATTGAAAGCTTTGAAAGAGGCGAGGGAAAGGGTTGGAAATTTATTGGAGATGACATGGTGATGGAGACAGAATTGTGAATTGAACTGATGAGATGTGAGGACGATGGAAGCAGTGGTGAATCATGGCGTAGGCGTACGCCTCATACCATAGCTAGGTTTTATTATTGTAGGCATTAGGGAATAGATTGACTGAGAATATTCAGCGGCAAACCGTGAGTGCATTTTTACAATGCACCTTAGAGCATATAAACCGGGCACCCTATACCCGCCTCAAACGCCCCTGACGAATGGCCCGGTCACTGATCGGTTAAAAAAAAGACCCAGACGGGCGTCTCAAGTGGGTCTCAAATATTTGGACTGACCGGTACCCCTCATATTCAGCCCAAATATGAGGCGGACATGGGGCTGCCCGGACGCGTATGCCACGTTGGACCCGACAGGTCTACTCATCACAAATTGCACCAAATTCACTCCCTTGACCTACCGGATTCATTTGCTTTCTCCTCTTTTTTTCCTCCTCCACGTCGAACGTCTCACAGCTCCGCCGCCACCCTTGCTCTGCAGCCGTTTCGAGCCTCAGCGCCGCCAGGACCGACACAACAGTCCTCTCTCCCGTGCTTCCGCCACAGACATCAGACATCGTCGCCGGCCCGGATGCCACCGTGGTATGTCCGGCAACTCTCGGGCTGCTCCTTGCGCTCTATGTGTTCGACACATTGTCTGGCTTGGTTTTTTGTGATTTATTTGTAGGAAAAAACGTGAATTTTGATGCTTCGTCAGAGGAGGATTATGGACCGACGGAGCTTGACAAAATGATTCAAGATGAGTTCTTTGATTTGTCAGATTCAGACGAAGAAGTGGACATGATCATGCTCATGAGCATGCAAGAGGAAATGGACCGACATGTGGGGCATATTCTCAACTTCAAGGGCTCAATCAAAGGGAGAAGAATGATCAATCGGGATAGGGACTCTGGAGCATAGCTACTGCACAAGGACTATTTTGCTCCGGACCCAACTTTCTGGATGATTCATGATTTCGTCGCCGTTTTTGTATGTGGAAACCATTGTTTTTGCGCATCGTGAAGGAAGTGGAGGCACACAATGACTACTTGAAACTCACAAGGGATTGCTATGGACAATATTCTTTCTATGCTAAGTAGAAATGCACGGTTGCTCTGAGGATGCTTGCACTTGGTACTGCCGCAGAGGTTGTTGGTGAGATGGTCCGGATGGGGAGAGCACATGCCTGAAGACTACAGTCAAGTTTGCATGCGTCGTGGTGGGATGTTTGGAGCAGAGCATCGGAGAGAACCAAATGTGTAGGACGCATAAACGTTGCTGGCAATAGGAGAGTCCAAAGGGTTTCCAAGAATGTTGGGATCAATTGATTATATGCATTGGCAATGGAAGAACTGTCTCAAAGGTTTGCGAGGAACGTATCAAGGTCACACCAAGAAGCCACCATCATACTGGAAGCAGTGGCATCACATGACTTATGGATTTGACATGTTTTATTTGGAATGGCGGGTTCTCACAACGATATCAACGTGCTACAACGATCTCCCGTGTTCAGGAGGCTTTGTAATGGGGAATCACCATTGTGCAACTATAGTATCAACGGCCGTGACTACAACATGGGATACTATCTTGCCGATGGCATCACTACTAGGGAAAACCTTATACACATAGTCTTATCAGTAGCGCGTGTTAAATAGGGGCCCTACTGCTAATTAGTAGTAGCGCGTTCTCCTTTCAAGCGCTACTAGTAGGTTGTTAGCAGTAGCGCGTGCTGGTGAGCCGCGCTGCTGTTATGGCCAGCCCGGGCCCAGGTACCCATCCCCACTTAGCAATAGCGCCTATCTTGTACCCACGCTACAACTATTTACTTTAGCAGTAGTGTTGGGCCTAAAGACGAGCTACTATTAAGCCCATGTTAAAGTCGTCCTCTGTGCCTGACCTCTCTCAGTCTTCCCTCCTCACTCTCCATCTGCACTCTCTCTCCCACCCTCGTCGACGGCCTGCCCCGGACTGCTCCGGTCGCCCTCCCCCAGCCCGCACCCGCCATCCCCCGCGCCCACCCTCCCCACGCGCTGGCCCTCCCCGGCGCTGACCCTCCCCCACGCGCCGCCGTCCTCCCCTGCGCCTGCCCTCTCCATCCCCTTCTCGGTGCCCGAGCTACCGTGTGAGTACCTCCTTCTCCTCTCAATTCACCCAAAAGCTAGGTATCTCTGAATGTGTTGGATGAATTAGCAAATGCAATATGCTCAGATTTTTAACTAATTTTGTTCATATATATGAACCCTAGGTGTTCATATATATGAACCCATTTCATCAATAGAGCACTAAATAGGTTTTTGAGTGCAATAGAATGTAGATATATGTAACCCTAGGTGTTCATATATATGAACCTACTACTAGTAGAAATATTATAGATAAATGGGTGGATGAAATTAGATATTTTTTTAATGCTTGGATAGATAGATGGATAGCCAGATGGATTAAACTAGGTTTTCTTTAGTAATGCTTTGGATAGATAGATGGATGGATGGATGGATAGTTGTTAGGGTTAGAACTAGGGTATTTTAGATAATACAATTTTATATATTAAATATAGGTCTTTTGAATCAAGATAATAATGTTTAGTTGATAGCTTATAGGGCTTCACTAAGTCCTAAGATGAGGATACTAATGTTTTTGTTTATATTTTATTTTTGTGGAAATCAAGGAGCCCTTGCATCATCCCCGCCATCGTCCCCATCACCGACCCCCTCTGACCTTGAGGTGAGACCAGCCAAATCCCCATGTCGATGATGATTTAGATGTTTTGATAGATGTAGTAGAGTAGTAGCTAGATGAGTAGTTGTGACAATTTTCATGGAATAGAAAATTTTAAATGTAGGTCTTTCAAATATGATGGAGATTTAGACATGTGATATGTAGTGTTCTGTACTACTAGTGCTTGCCCAAGTGGCCTATGTTTGCAGAGAACACCTCGGAGTGGCCTATGTTTTGCCTGAGTGTTGATTAATTTCCATTCCGGGAAATTTCAGACGCTCGATATATGTCCTTTTTAGCAAAGGTCATCCTGGATTTTTGCGTGAATTTTGCTTTGAGTTGTGCTAGAATATGTAGGAAATATCGAGTGGCCCAGATTTTCTAGAAGGATAATTAAATGACATTTTGGGTTCACTTTAAGTCTATCTGGGCTCCATACATGACAGTCAAAAAATCAGTGAGGGAGAGTCTCCACCATATATATGAGAGAAGAAGAATCCCAACTGTTGTCGTGAGGGAAGCTTCTTCTTCATTTGAAGGTGCTAGACATTTTGGTGTAATGCACTTTCAAATGAAAGTAGGAGCTTCCATCACCGATGGTCGCAAATGTCAGAGAGGAAGAAGAATCCCGACTGTTGTCGTGGGGGTGGCTTCTCCTTCGTTCTCGTGTGCTAGACATTTTGGTGTGATGCACTCAGGGACGAAGGAAGGAGCGACCATCACCGTCGGTCGAATATATCAGATAGGGAGTGCCCACCATATACACCACGTGAGATGAGAGTTTTCAACAAAAGTCTCGACAGACTGAAAGTCAACCCGTGATAAATATTAATGATCGAATTTAGTTTTTGCAGTACATATATAAAAAAATCAAAAGCTTAATCTTTGAATTATGAACACAGGAGATGTCTGATGACGATAGGATCCCGGAGTGCGATTACTGCTACGATGACTCGGGTTTGTGCGCCAGGTTTCCTCACCTGCAAAATGATAGGTTTTTCACTGTGAAGCTGGATGAGACCTTTGTTGTTTGTACGATACGCAACGACAAACATTCATCATAATTAATATCATCACTTGTTCTTCTTTTGTTCAACGTGTAATTTCTGTTTTTTTTCAATTTGATTAGTACATCCCGTGCCATGCTAGACCATATGTATTGGAGAAGCTCGGTTTCAAAGACTTTAAGAATATGGAGACGAGAACGGCTCACTTAAGAACTAAACATTGTTATGTGTTTCTGGTTAAGCTGTACAATGCGGTCAATCACTCCCATTTCGATTGCTCTAATTGGGAAGCTCTCTGCAAGGCATATGGATTTGACGAGAGTATGCAAATAACATTTGATATTCACCCCGAAGAAGATGATGATGATAATATCGACATCTGGGTGGATGTGGATATGCCTCTAGTTTTGTGTAAATGTGAGTTTGTCAAACTAATTTGTTAAGTTAAGTAATTTATTTTGTTAATTTAAAAATATTTGGTGTTCATCGATACTAAACATTTTTATTTATAATTATCAGCTTATTTCTTATCTTCCAAAAATACTCGGAAGGCTGTAGACAGGACATACGAGAACTATGACTCCGAGCTTAATTGTGTGGAGAAAGGTTATCTTGTCTCATTCATAGATGATGTTGAGACCTTTAAAACCAATCACTATATCCTCCCAAATTTTATTGGATATGTGCCACTAGTCCATAAATTGCATGATGGTAACTTCATTGCCAAAAACTTGGTAAGATTTTGTTAATGATGGTAACTTCATTGCATACATTCTTCTTAAGTAAACTACATTGCTAACTATATATGTTACTATTACGTTTATCAACAGAGGCTCCCAAAGGAGGTTCTGCCTTACATGCTGTTTACCGAAGGTGCTATGCATATGGTTAGCTTACGACCAACTCCTTTGAAGGCTTACCATACTGCATACTCGATTTCTTCAAATGATGGAAGGCTCAAAATCAAAGAATGGAGCAAAGTGATGAATGCGCACAC